TTGCAATGCTGCCCAACTTCAATTGTTCCATAAGTAATATTATATTAGTACCATAAGACAGTCTCTTGAATGCAACTAAACTTCTGCAGACATATATGCTTGTTTATATAAGAATAGGATAGAGCGTCAATCTGTTAAGTTTGGTGAGACAGCTTGGTTAAATAAGTATTCTTCACATGAAGAAATTCAACCAGAATCAGATCCTACCAAGACTAAACCAACATTTCCCCCTTCACTATTATGGAGTATCTCCCTCATCTGTGAGATGTTTCTACAGTACATACTAAGTTCAATGTTCCCTTTAGCCTTTTCCATTCGAATTTCTTTTCCCTCTCTCACTTCTCAGCATCAAACTTTTAAGTACTTGATGCAAGTACATAGACCAGGCTTTGACACACATGTAAATGTTCATATGCTCAATCTCTCTAAACAGCTATTTCATGTATACATGATAAATATCTGCCCAAAATGAAAAAAATATTGTCATCTACACTTAAGTCTCTTGAACATTTTTCAACATCAATATGCTTTCATTTTGTTGTATCTTTACTAAATTTATTATTTTTCCAGCTGGCATAGTGTCAAACACCCAGAACCTTCAAGAAAAATACCTTCTCTGCAATTCCAAGAACAGGTCATGTTTAAAATAAAAAAAAAAAAACAACACCTCAATCACCTGTATTTAAATGTATACATAGATACAAGTATATTATACATATATATATGTAAAGATAGATACTAAAACCCCCTGGAAAACAGCTACTCCAATACTAAGTTCCAGTAAATCCCTGATTTTAAAATGGCAAATTTAATGTGGTAAAAGGTTGTTACACCAAGAGATGTCAAGCCAGACACAGAAGCACTACTATATCACAAAGGAATGAGGCTTTAATATGTTCTGCAGAAACCTAAGCAGATATCAACCAAGCACACCTCTATATTATCAAAAGAAATAATTTTAAAAATTCCTCGGATTCTCCAACTTTACAAAAAGGCAAATTCCTCAATATGATTATTTTCACAATATGTTTGAAGATGTTTTAACTGATCTTCAGGTTTCTGGTGTGAAAAATAGATCCTGAATTGCTGAATAAGTGTTCTTTGTAGTAATTTGCAATTGGCTGAAGGAGTCTTCTTCAAAATAAATTTTAAATGTCAGTTCTGTGTATATTGAGATGAAACAGGTAACATTTACACCTCAAAGGAAACAGATTAATAAAAGAGCAACTGCAGGCTATCTCTGCAGCTCAGCTGGATTTACTTCAGAAATGTCTAATATACATTACTTCCCAGCCTTGACACACCGCCCTACCTCAAGTAAATGGAAGAATTAAACCATGTGGAAGTGAAACATCTAACAAGGAAAAGGAAAGAATGGTGGATAGGAAACAATTCTGCAAAAAGGAACCATATTGAAGAAATGAAACCCAGCAACTGACAGAACCCAGGCCTGGTTCAGGGGTTCCGTGTGGTGGAAAAGTCTCTCCTCCAACCCGTGCTTACAAAGAAAGACTCAACAGTCTCTTGTTCGGTCTCAAGGCAGTTTATTGTAAGCTATCTAAAAGATTGTCTTCTCGGGCTACTGCGGTTTGGTCAGCAGCTCAGGCAGAGGCACACACACCCCTGACACCCTCTCTGTCCCCTGACTTCTTCTCCCGCCCCTGGGCTGCTGCTATCTTTTATATGGTGCATTATGTGATAAATGTGTACAGTTTTTCCCCAATACCCACTACCTATATTAAATGGTGCTTTTCTACTCTAAACCAATCCATGAGTGCCAACATCAAGAACATGGAGGCAAGGAAGAAGAAAGAGGAGGAACAGGACCGGCCTACATTTGTCCATCTTAAACCCTCTGACCCCCATGTACAAAGTAAAAACCCCCCTGTACAACACTAAAAAAATCTTCCCTCTACTTTATAACTACTTCTACTATAATATCTAAACTTTTGTGACTTCTTGTTCTTCCTGCAAAGTTGGTAAATCATTACATGGCTCAAACTCAAAATCACAGCTGTTTCCAGCTGCCTGCCAGGGTCTCAAATGCTTCTGACCAGGGCCTGGAACCTCCAAAAATGTCTGAGGAACATTTTGAGTTCCAACAAGCAACAGCAGATAGAAAAAACAGAATTATAATATGTACAATAACAGAAAAAAAAATCAGCAATAATAAAAAAGCAAAGTAGGACTAAAACATAAATTGCAAAAGCAAAAAAAATGTTGACCCAAAAAAGTTTTCAAGACTGGTATTTCGTTTAACTCATCTAGAAACAAAATCAACAAAATGGTGGACAAGGGAACTAGAGAGACATGGATTTGATTGATGGAACACTTGGTGGAAAAGGAATTGGCTGGATGGTCACACTCAGAGTTGCAGTCAGTGGCTTAATGTCCAAGTGGAAAGAAGTGACGAGTGGCATTCCTCAGGGGTCTGTATTGGGACTGGTACTCTTTAACATCTTTGTCAGCAACATGGACAGTGGGACTGAGTGGGACTCAGCAAGTTTGTCAATGATACCAAGCTGTGTGGTGCAGTTGACATGCTGAAGGGACAGGATGCCATCCAGAGGGACCTTGACAGGTTTGAAAGATGGGTCTGTGCAAGCCTCATGAAATTCAATAAGGCCAAGTGCAAGATCCTGTACCTGGGTCGAGGCACTCCCAAATACAAGTACAATCTGGGCAGAGAATGGTTTAAATGCAGCCCTGGGGAAAGGGATTTGGGGCTGTTGGTGGATGAGAGTCTCAATATGTCTCAGCAATGTGTGCTTGCAGCCCAGAAAGCCAACTGTGTCCTAGGCTTCATCAAAAGCGGTGTGGTCAGCAGGGTGAGGGAGGTGATTTTCCCCCTCTATTCTGCTTTGGTGAGGCCCCACCTGAAGTTGTGCATCCAGCTCTGGGGCCCCCAGCACAAGAAAGATGTGGATCTGTTGGAGCAAGTCCAGAGGAGGCCACAAAGATGATCAGAGAGCTAGAGCACCTCTCCTATGAAAACAGACTGAGACAGTTGGGGCTTGTTCAGCCTGGAGAAGAGAAGGCTTTGGGGAGACCTTATAGCCCCTTTCAGTACCTAAAGGGGGCTACAGAAAGGCTGGAGAGGGACTTTTTACAAGGACATGTAGCAATAGGACAAGGGGCAATGACTCTAAGCTGAAAGAGGGCCAATTCATATTGGCTATTATGAAGAAATTCTTCCAGGTTGCCCAGGAAGTTGTGGATGCCCTTGTCCCTGGATGTGTTCAAGGCCAGGCTGGATGGGGCTCTGATCAAGCTAGTCCATTGGAAGGTGTCCCTGCCCATGGCAGTGGGGTTGGAACTAGATAATCTTTAAGGTCCTTTCCAACCGAAACCATGTTATGATTCTAGGAAAATGTTCCAAGGCTGTTGTTTAGCTTCCTCCATTATCTGTATTTCAAATATCCCTTTAAAAATACAGCATTTTGTCTTCCACTTCATGGGCTTGTATCTGCATGTTAGTAAACAGCAATTCTAAAAAATGAATCATTATTTTCCTGATACAATATTACTTTACAGTTAGCTCAAAATTAGGTTTAATTCAGAAGTATTTATAATGTGATAAAACAAAACAAAACAGAATCACTGAAGATAAAAATATCCTAATTTTGTGCCATGTAAATATGGGTGTAAGAGGCAATTAAACATTTCATCATGGCACTAAATGAGAAAGAGTAAATTCAAGTAATGATAAAGATAGAGGAAATACATATGGGATTTATGTGGCTAAGGGGTTGTGAAAAACTAGATAGTTACATGGTATCCATGTTTTTCTCCTTTTAAAGTAATTTAAAAATAGGTTAAAACCTATAGTAGATATGTTCTCTCATTTTTCTACATAGAACTTGTATTAGACAGCAAAAAGATGCTATGCTCATAAGAAAGATAGCATGTACATTTTTTGTAAGAAGAGGTACACTTCCCAACACAGTATAAGCTAGGGTTAATAGACTATGAAATTATTTTAAGTAGTCTACTGAGATAATACAACTTGATACAGAAACTGAATGACAAGAAACCATATGGATCAACAACATGACATGGTAGGGCCACCTTAATTAAGAAGGCATAGCCAGGTAGATGGCTCTTATTCCTTTCAAGCTATACATTCAACATTTCTTTAGCTCTTCAGAAACAAATATGTTTCTAAGAAAGTAAGACAAACACACAGCATTGTGTGCTCTAAATATGCACAGCTCCTTTGAGTTTACTGAAAACTTAGCTGTTTCTATACTAGCAGGTTAAATTCTACAAGTAGCACAAGCAGAATTAAAAAAAGGCTCTGAATCAGTGCATGAAAACAATAATACCACCAAACATTCCATGTAGAACAAATATGTTTTTAAAATAAAATGAAAGTGTTAGTTGATGAGAAGAGAATGTTAGGAATTCAGAGGTACAGCCATAAAATGAAATTAAAAAATTAAATTACACTTGCACCCCGACATGACAATTAATTGTACTGAAGAATCTTACATAGTACCAGTTAGCCCTTCAACCTCTACTATTAACTACTAATCACACCTTCAAGATAATTTTAAAGGATCTCTAATGCGTACTACAGGTAACATAGGCCTTTTCCTATTGATGTACAAGATACTTTGGAACATTACAAGTACTGCAACGTGTCAGATAACTTCTAATAATAATTTTTTAAAATAAAGATAAATACCCTTCATAACAAACAACCACAGGGCAATTTACATCATTTTTTCCCTTTCGGAAATGATGTCTCTTCCTATATTATGAATTGGGAAGGAAGAAAGGCTGAGGAAGAGAAAGCGCTCGAGGCTTTTCTCTCTCACTCCTCCTCACACACCCACCCCCCCCCCCCCCCCCCCCAATCAATAGCGAAGCCCAGTGCAGCAGTCCCAGCCTGGATGCTGCAAGAAGGGAGGAGGTAATAGCTGGGGTGGAGGCAGAGGGGAGAAAAAAGGGATAGAAAGGCACAGGATTGCAAGTCTATACAGAATAGTTACATTCACCTGAATCGTGGAAAGCTGTGTTGTTGCTCTTGCTGGTGGTGGCTCTTGTAGGTGATGATTAGGAAGCAAATAGAAAGCAGTGGAAGAGCAGATGTTGTTGATGAGTAACAGTCACCAGGACTACGGTGACTATGGCGCTTGATTCACAAGGCAACAGTTGCTATAACTCACAAAAGAGAGAGAGCAAGCAAGAGAAAAGGAAGCAGTGGCCCAGCCGAAGATACCCGGAAGAGGCAGGGCTTCCCGTATGACGGACAGCTTTTAGAGCTGGAGGGGAGGAGGATCTGTTTCCTCAAGGAGGAAAGAAAAGAAGGTTTGTAGGAATGTAATAAAACCCCTACCTCACTAAGGGCGTGCGAGGGCGCATTCTATTCCCGACAAGCAAAGTGGCACTAGTATGACAATGGACTATCCATGGATGTAAGATCATACTACATCGGAGTGAGCAAGGAGGGAACCTATAGTGGTGGCTGATAGTTCAAATGGATAGCAACTGCCAGGCCGAAACACGAGTGGGAGGGAGAAGGAGGGAAGAGAGGGTGTGGTTATATCAGCATATCTGTCTCCCGCGTGGATCGTGCTCACCGACATCCTGACGTCACATCCGATTAGCAACTAAAATGAAGGGGGTTTTGTGCACGCATCTCTGTTCCGTGATTTGCTTTGCTTTTCCACCCTGTTTGCTTCCTGCTACTTGGAAGCAGATTAGCGTGAGCAGGAAATTCTGCTTTGTCCTAACAGCTTATCACCATCTCTATTTCTTTTCCCATCAGAAAGTAACAGTGAAGAGATGCTGCTAGACAGGGTATTTGTTGACTGCTGCCATCTAAAGTAGGTGAGGCTGTGGCAGCAGCTGTACTGCCCTCATTGCCAAAGCTGAACATTTTCTGTAACTGCTGTATACACTTGGCCTGCTGGACTCAGCACACGCACAACCAGTGTGTGCATTACCAGCTGCCTTGTGCCAACTTTTCCCTTCAGCAATGTTTCTCATAGACCCCTACCCTTCCCCACATGTATTTCCTTAGAATGCAACCTGCTTTACTTTTATTCCTTCCCTGAACACACTTCATTCTGCATGCTGCCACCAGGGCAATGCTCTTTAAATTCCCTTCCTCATCCTGTTTCCCCTTAATCTCCCATATTACCAATGCTTCTCTGCACCTTGTAGTCATGGGGCTACAAGATATTGAGCATTACTGCTTGATTTAGGGATATAAGAGATGTTGTATACTGGAGTCAATACACAATGTGAGAATTTATACAGCACCGTAGCTATTTTTCTGCAATGCATCCACATCTAATGGTCACTATGGTTCCATATAGCCCTGTAACCCAAATACATGCAAACCTGCAGCTCTTTTACACATTTTGTAACCTATAAAATTACTGTTGTACGCAGCCTATTATACCATCTACATAACCAGTAATATTTGGCTGTAATACATATATTGGTCATAGCCAGCATGGGTTCATGAGGGGAAAATCCTGCTTAACTAAATTTCCTTTTATGACAAGGTTGTACATCTAATTGACCAAGGGAAACCAGTACATGTGGTGGGGTTTTTTATTATTATTTTGGCAAAGCTTTTGATACTGTGTCTCACAGTATTCTTCTGGACAAAATGTCCAGCATACAACTGGACAAGTCCATATTACATCGGGTGAACAACTAGCTGACAGGTTGGGTTCAAAGAGTTATAGTAAATGGGGTTACATCGGGCTGGTGGCCAGTCACCAGTAGGGTTCCCCAGGGCTCAATTTTAGGCCAGTACACTTTGATGTTTTTATAAATTATCTGGCACAGGTGTAGCAATGTATCTGAACAACTTAGGCCTCAGTGTGCACCAGCCATACTGTCTGTAAGTGTTCTTATCAGAATTTTCTCAGGGCACCGTGGAATTCATCAAGGTTACTAAGACATAAACTGTGCTAAAATAAGAAAGAAGAAGCTGAGAAACCAAATACCAGGATTGCAAGAACTAGATGACAGAGGACTGTAGAACACCTGCACAGTAACCAATCACGGATGCTGAGAAATGGAGGCAGAGAACGAGGGAACAAGACAAAGGCACCAATCAAGAAATGTGATCTTAGTCGTTTGTAGACCATATAAAAGTGTGTGTAATGTAAACAATAAATGGCTTCTGCTTGATCATATTGGTCAGTTGTTCAGGAGCCCTGGTTTACCCGCAATACACAGGAATCAAATGTATGTTAAGTAAGTTGGATGATGATACTAAATTAGGAAGAGCTGGTGGATTCCCTTGAGGGTAGAGAGGAGTTACAGAGAGATCTGGATAGACTAGAGAGCTGGGCAATCGCCAACTATGGAATTTAATAAGAGCAAGTGCCAGATTCTGCACCTGGAACAGGGTAATCTTGGTTATATGTACAAACTAGGGGGGTCTGGATGCTATACATACAAACAAGATGCTTGAGAGCAGCACCATGGAAAGGGATGAGGGTTCAGTTTCATATCAAATTGAATATAAGTCAGCAGTGTGCCCTAGAAGCCAAAAGGGCCAATTGTATTCTGGGGTGCATGAGGCACAGTATCACCAGCTGGTTGAGGGATGTGATTGTCCCACTCTGCACTGGTGGAACACCACCTCAAGTACTGTGTGCAGTTTTGGGCACTTCAACATAAGGACATAAAATTATTAGAGTGTGTCCAAAGGCAGGTGTTACATTGTGACACGAAATAACTCACAGAAGTAGGCTAAATGTAAAAGGAAATAAAAAGAACTTAAAAAAGCAAACTGTATTTTCTGACTCTACTATATATACAATAGTAAAAGTGACAGTGGATTGGAGGGTGAAACTACTACCTCTCCAACTACAGTGGTGTCCTAGTTTAGGACAAATTTGGGGAAAACCCTCTGAAAGGAGCCCCCAGGAAACAAACCCCCATGGCCCCTCCCCACCCACCTGGTTCAGGGAAAAATTTCCTCTGAGAGAGAAGTGGAAAAGAACCTGTTTATTCAACAAACAAAGCACTCCCCAGCACCAAAACAATTAACAAAACCAGATGACAACAAAACTCTTTCACCACTCTGAAGAGATTAACAAATCCAGAAAGTCTTTCCTGGGAGTGGTCGCCCGGGTCTTGATGCTGGGGATTGCTCTCCAGCACTGGGGATGGCTGCTGCAGATCACAAAATGCAGGCTCCTGGTGTTCCTTGGTGTTTCCCAGATCCCAGTCCGGAGCAGGTTGGATGGTATTCAGGAAGAGGAAAGGAAAAGCAACAGTCCAGGGAAAGAATTGGACTGCTTAGCTAACCTAACTAGGAAGCAAAGGCAAAAGCAGAAGCAAGCAAAGCAAGCAAGCAGGCAAAGCAAAAGCCAGCCAGCCAGCACTAGCCTTTTCTAGACAGCAGACCATGGGGGGAGGTGAACCAGCTGATAACAAGGCAAAACAAACCTTCACTTTCAGAGTTAGTTCTGAAAGCACAGAACATAATATCAAACGTAAACAGAACACGATTGGAGATACAAACACCATAACGTCACCCTAGGACAAGTGGTCAAACCAACAGTCCATCAATTCTCTCTACTTACAAAGAAGAATGTAAAGCAGTCATTATTTGCATGAACACATGTGAGAAAATTTAGTTGAAATATGTAAATATCAGAAGGCATAGGAACTTTTAGAAGAACTTTAAAACTCTCAAAAAAACAGAACAGACAGGGGATTGATATGGTGAAAGATCTCAAGGGCAAGACTTATGCAGAGCAGTTGAGGCCACTTGGCTTGTTCAGTTTGGAGGAGAGGAGAGGAGAGGAGAGGAGAGGAGAGGAGAGGAGAGGAGAGGAGAGGAGAGGAGAGGAGAGGAGAGGAGAGGAGAGGAGAGGAGAGGAGAGGAGAGGAGAGGAGAGGAGAGGAGAGGAGAGGAGAGGAGGAGAGGAGAGGAGAGGAGAGGAGAGGAGAGGAGAGGAGAGGAGAGGAGAGGAGAGGAGAGGAGAGGAGAGGAGAGGAGAGGGAGGAGAGGAGAGGAGAGGAGAGGAGAGGAGAGGAGAGGAGAGGAGAGGGGGGGAGGGGAGGGGAGGGGAGGGGGGGGGAGGGGAGGGGAGGGGAGGGGAGGGGAGGGGAGGGGGAGGGGAGGGGAGGGAGGGGAGGGGAGGGGAGGGGAGGGAGAGAAGAGAAAGAGAAGAGAGAGAAGAGAAGAGAAGAGAAGAGAAGAGGAAGAGAAGAGAAGAGAAGAGAAGAGAAGAGATAGAGAAGAAGAGAAGAGAAGAGAAGCTGAAGGGGGACTTCATTACAGTCTGCAACCTCCTCAAGAGGAGCAGCAAAGGGAGAGTTGCTGATGGAGCAAGTCCAGAGAAGAGCATGAAAGCTGGTGAAGTGGCTGGAGCACAAGTCTTATGAGGAGCACCTAAAGGAACTGGAGTTGTTTAGCCTGGAGAAAAGGAGTCTGAGGGGAGACCTTATTGCTCTCTACAACTCCCTGAAAGGATTTTGTAGTGAGGTGGGGGTCAGTCTCTTCTCCCAGGTAACAAGTAACAGGATGAGAGGAAATGGCCTCAAGTTGTGTCAGGGAAGGTTTAGATTCGATATTAGGATTTTTTTTTCCTCAGAAAGGATTGTAAAGCTTTGGAACAGACTGCTCAGGGAAGTGAAGTCACCATCCCTGGAAGTGTTCAGAAAACATGTGGATATGGCACCTGAGGACATGGTTTAATGGTGAACATGATGGTGGTGCTCAGTTGACAGTTGGACTCAATCTTAGAGGTATTTTCCAACCTTAACAATTCTATGGTTCTGTGGTGGAAATAGTATGAAGCTGCATCAGGGGAAGTTCAGATTGGACATTAGGAAAAGGTTCTTCACTGAGAGGATGTTCTGTCACTGGAAGTGATCATGGCACCGAGCCTGTCAGAGTTCAAGGAGCTTCTGGATGCTCTTAGTCATATGATTTAGTTTTAGGTATTCCTGTGAAGAACAGGAAATTGAAGTCAATGATCCTTATGTCAACCAGCAGGAAATGGTCTTCCAAATGGCTGTTGACTATCTGAATGAGCTGTATGTATTCTCTCACATAGTAGCCATTCTCAAAATCAGACTGCACTAGTTTAACAGGCATTTGTTCAGTATCCACATAGAGGACTACAAAATGTATGTCATCGTATCTAAGGTTGAAAGGGTTCTCAGGATAATTGCTGCTAAAAGCAAGACAGAACAATCTTAAATTAATTTTTAAAGGTTGGCCACCAAATAATTTTTATCTCATAAAAACTGTTGCCAGAACACTGTGACTGTAAGTCCACAGTAATGCTTTAGAACCATCCTACCCATTATGGTTAAGAAAGTATTGACATCAGGAAGAACTTTATTACTATGAAGGTGACTGAGCGCTCAAACAAGTTGGCCAGAGTAGTTGCCTTGGAGATATCATGGTCCTGGTCAGCCAGCTCTAGGTGGCCCTACTTGAGCAGGGAAGTTAGACTTAGATGATCTCAACAGGTCTCTTCCAACCTCAAGCATTCTGTGACTTGAAGGCTTTTTCTTCTTGATACTGTACTTTTATCTGTTCTGTCAAGCAACATTTGCATGCTTACTTGTTTGGAAAGAAGAACAGGATAAGCTGTGGCATGAGCCTTAAATTTGGGTCTTTATCTCAGTTGACCGGGCTGTCAATTTGTGTTCTCAAAGGAAGGAACTTCATGTGCCTATCTTTGAAGGAAAAAATCAAACCTGTTTCAGGCCTTGGCACAAATAAAATAAAATTGCTTAAGTTCTTTCTCTGCCTCTACATATTTGTAGAATGTTTTAGAAACATCTTCAGCTTATGAATATATCAGCTGTTATATAGGTAGGAGGGTTGTAGCTGCCAGTGTTACAAGGAAATTATCAAATCAGTTTAAAGTTGTAATATTTTCTTCTATGTAGTTAATTTGCACAGATATCTTTCCACTTAGATTCATTGGGGCTTAATAGGACTAATAAAAATTAAAGTAAGAATAGGAAATTCTACTTTAAATAATTCCAAATATATAGATTTTTCTCTCAAAATATTTTTTACATAATTCTCAAAGAAGGTATGTCTCTTCTCAATTTTTTAAGAGATCATCCTTTTTTCTGAATTTTACAGTTACTCATTTCTATTGTGGAAGTAGAAATGCTAAGGCCTGGGTGGGCCTCTTGAGTCAATTCTCATCCTGTCTCATGGGTCTCTTGACTGAACTCTCACCCTGTCTCCTGAAACAATAATCACTGTGTAACCTTCACGATCAGTCTCTGTGCTAAAGAAAGCAGATTCTAAACCAGCCTTGAGCAGTTCTGTGGTCTTATGTATGTGACAGATATTAATAACTCACATTACGTTATCTGTCTTTGGCACAGCATCTTGAAGTGTATAAAAGCTTGTATCCACTTTACATAGAGTTCACATCAGCAGAGACTGTTTGTCTGTTGCTCTGTGCTCTCTCCAATAGCTTCTGTTCTGATCTGATGTAAATTGTATTCCATTTTTTCCATGACGAATTTGAAGCCATAAGTCAGATTCACATATCATGCTTCACCTGGGAGGACCACAGGTTGCTCCCTGCCAAAACTCCTTGGTGCCACTCAGAAGGTACAGGACCTTTTGAAATCCTTACTGGGACTTTGGGCAATGATCATCTGTAGGCTCCTGTGGCATGCTGAGACTGCTGAATCCAAACTTTTGGTAAAGGTCAGTTCAGACTCAAATTGCTGGCTTAAAGAGAAAAGAAATCTGTAATTCTGTTTCTGGTAAAATTTAGGAGAGGTAAGTCAGGAAAAGACTGGGTTGGTTTCTAGTATTAATATGGTATGAATTAATGAATGAATGCATCTGTGTGAATGGTGATTCTTGAGAGCTGGGCATTGATTTCTGCCACTACTTAAAAGCATCCTCTCTTCTGGTATCCATTAGCCACCCAGACTACCTTCTGCAGAGTGATTAGCCCTAGCTGTTAAAGAAGAATGGTGTGAGCTCTTGGTGTGAGTGACCCCATTAACCCTCTTCTGTGTCTAGTTCTAGCATAAGCCTCCTTTGGTTTCACTGTTGATGACCCCAACCTCAACCAGTATGGTGAGCTCAGGCTAGACACAGTGACCAGGAGGGTCTCTTCAGTCTCTGGTTATGGTTAGTCACATTGGAGAAGAAAAACATGGTTGATTGCTGTGAGGGGATTAAGTCAAAGCTCTGTCTTCTCCAGAATGCCCAAACCTTTTATCTTATTCCTCTTTGCCATGGAAAGGCCTAGATTTGAACTCCCTCACTGAGGATCCAAGCCACATAAATCCCTCTGACTTTCCTTTGTTTCCTCTGAATAAATGAAAATGGGAATCGGACAATCAAAGGAAGTTTCACTGCCCTCAAAGAGAACTCCAGAGTACTATATGTAAATGCAGTTCTCTCCTAAAGCCTGCAGGTACTTAGATAATTGGGATTTGGGGTAAAAAAAAAAAAAAAAAAGATCCCTCAAAACAATTCACTCTAGAAGGTACCTTAACTTAGATGAAATAGTCCACCTTATGTGGGATGTATTTTTTAATTGGTATGAAGAGGCCTCCAGAAGGAGAGACAGAGTCCCTTTCCAGAGGGTTAGGAGACTCTCAGGAAGAAAAAAAAAAAAAAAAAAAAAAAAATTGAACAGCTGAAAACAAAGAAAAGTGAAAAAACTCTGGCAGCTACCAAAACAGAATGTGGCTTTTGCTGGAAAAGGTAAAATCTTACAAATGTCTGTTGGAGAATGACTTAAATGTGGAATGCCTGTGGGATGAGTATGTGCATGTTTGGTGACCAGATGGCAAATAAAAGACCCAAGAAACAGGTAAGAGGGTCTGGAATATAGTCAGGTGTACAGAAAGGACAGAAAGGTTGGTGTCGGTACTCATGGGATCCATTAATGTTCATGTGCTTGTCAATCTAGACAGTATCATGTGTGTCTTCCCTACTGACCTTTAATTTCTACCAGTCAAATAGGAGGAAGGGGACTTGCCTATGTTTGTTTTATGCAAATCCTATATGTAGGTGCTGTTGAAGGCAGTGCCTTATCTGTGGCAGTCTGTGTAACTGGCCATGTCAGTGTCCTGTGTATGTCTTCTGTGTGTCCTGTATGTGGGTGGGGGATCTCTGGGATACAAGCTCAGCTTTGTTACCAGTTGAACCTGCAAATGGGAAAGTGTCAACCATTTCCCTCAGCCAGGGAAGAAGCCCTGGAGTCCCTGGGACACACAAAACTGGGCTCCAGTGGCTGGGCAGGAGTTCTGGGCATCAGCTGTTAGACAAGGTAGCCACTCCTAACATAAGGATATGGTCAAATTGTGAGCATTTCCAATATTATATGTGTAATTCTTATGTGATGGAGGAGTGAGCCTTTGTTAATGTGCCTACAACAATAAATTTGTAACCAACCTTCTAGAGCGTTATGCAGGCACCAAAACAGGACCTGTGCTAGTAAATTCTTTGGTTAATCGGAACAATTGGATTAGGGGGGCGGGGGGGGGGGAGGAGCATTAGAAGATATAAATAGCTCAAACTGCAGGGCCTAGTGACTGGAATTTGTAGTTTGGGGATGAAAGGAGATGCTTACCAGAGTATGTACAAGACTCCCTGTAAGAAATCACTTTCACCTATCAAATCAACAATGATATTTTATATAAAGCAGGAGGAAATCTGAGAGAATCAGACTAAGGCTGAGCCCTCTAGAATTTGAACTTAGAAATTTGTGAAGAACCAGGTAGAAAAGTGAAATGCACAGTTCCAAAGGAATAGCCTCAACTTACAGAAATTTAATCCCAATGGAACCAAGTAGTGGAATTGAGTATTGCAGAAGAATTTGGTGAATTGTAGGGGAATAAATATCACTTAATGTACCTAGTGGCAGTGTAAATCTCTCATGGCTACTGTCATTACACAAATGCATACCATCCTGCTTGTAAACAAGGGGTGTCTGTACAGGACAACTCAGGATCAGCCACTATGATTGTAAGTAGCACAAGACATCCTATATGTTTGTTCAAGGATGCTCAGATAAGTTCCTGATCCAAGGAGAAATATGATTTTTAAATTTTTTTCCCCTAAGGAACTAGAACCTTTGTAGGGATCCTTAAAAGATATTTAAGAAGCCCTTAAAGAGAACAACTCAGGCACGAGGTATGGGTAGGGTTACAGTTTCAGTGCTATCCTACATTATTCCCACCCTGCTCCTGGAACTTCGGTATTAAAGGCAGCAGGGGCAGCAGCACAAAGTGGTGAAGGGGAGTGGTCATCCCGGGGGAAGAAGCTGAGAATATTCAGACTCTCCCCTCCACTGGAGGGCCAGATTTCAAGCTTATTTGTTTAAAAAACAAGAACTTTTCTTTAAATATTTTAGTTTGGTTAGAGCATGATGCAAATAACACCAAGGTTGCAGGTTCAATCCCTGTATGGGCCATTCACTTAAGAGTTGGACTCGATGATCCTTTTGGGTCCTTTCCAACTAAGAATATTCTTTGATTCTGTGAATATGCTCTAAATTAACTACTCAACCACCACTGACTGAGATTAAATATTTAAGAATGAAGAAGGTGCAGTCAACCAACAGAAACTGAGACACCTCTCAAACCCCATATAGCTGCTGGGGAGGTGGGGTTGCTCAACTCCTACAATGTTCCCAGAGATTTCTCCCTAGCACATATTCCTGAGAAGACAGTAAAGATAGGAAGACTTTGCTATTGATCAAAAACCTTCTCTAGCAATGGAATGTTTTAGTGAAGTCACTGAGCTACTGGCTACATCATTAAAATGTTGTTATATCTAAAGATACAGCTAATACTGAAAGCACTTTAATATGTCATTTCCCTTCTTTAATTTTCCACAAAAATTTAGCATTTTTGAAATTCATACACATTTTTATTTATTCAAATAATTCTATTGTCGCCCTGATTCTTAAGTTTTTCTAAAGCCTTCTGAGTTTACATTTTATTGGAAAACTTTCCCACACAGTTTCTGTAAATAACATATTGTTTTGCATTCCTTCATGGGGGTGGAGAAACTTGATGTACTAGTGGTTTGTCCAATGTCTTTGGAGAGGTGGCCCATTCACTCTCCAATCCACTGTCACCTTTGTAAAAGTATAAAAGTTAGAGTCAGAAAATAAACTTTCTCTTTTACCTTGCAAAGTGGCAGGTGGCTCGTGTTGTGCTTTCTCGTGTCCTATAGCGACATTCTATAGTTTAAATGGTCAGGAAGGGGCTTTCATTTTGCCATTGAGATGCAAAGGATTGAAGTCTATTATTGTTTGAATTCTTAAATCTTTGTTGGACACCTTTTGAACAAAATACTATAAGACAGAAAGAGAAGAAAACTGTAGCTGTACACCTCCTAAACCATGAGGACCATTTGTAAATTTGCAAATTTACTTTATTCAGATGCCTACATGCTATAATTTTGAGCAGTCTGTCATTTTAGAGATGTTCTCAGGATGGGAAGAGCCCTATCCATGTGTGAAAAATGTTTTTGTGACTCCTGTAAATTGGCAGTGGAATCAGCAAATGCTTGTATCTGCTGTGTTGAAAGTGGATGCATTCCCTGGGATAACTACAAAAACGGTTTTGAAACTTTCTGACCGAATAGTCAAATAAAGCATCGAAATAGAAGTATCTTAGAGTAAAAGAGATGAGGTAGCAAGACGACTGACGCTTAGAATATAATAGAGGAGGTTGTGGTAAAGCTAAAGGGATATTGCAACAAAGCGACTAAATGCTTATGTATAATAAAAAGTTTGATGCACTTGACAAAAATCATGTAACAGACACTCGTGTAAGGCCTCCCTCCAGACAACCACAAGGACAGGAAGCCAACGACCACCTGGAAAGATTATGAAATTGCTGATCCCAGCTTATTGATATTTCCTAATTTGGACTAACACAAGCACACTGGAAAATGCTTTGTAGTCTTAAAAACAGTATATATACTCTGGTGAACTTGTAGTGGTGTGTGCTGTTAGTGGAGCGGTGACTCCCTGGCCACCCAGCGCTGCTTGCTTGCTTTCTTTAAAATAAAAGATATAGAAATAAAATTTGGTTTGGCTATCGAAGTTTTATATCACTTGTAAATAAGCTGATGCAACAACTGTTGAAAAAGGTTGCTGAGAGAACTAATTCCTGAGTTTAGTATTCCTCTAACATTACATAGCAATAGAAGGACCCATTTTACCAGACAAGTAAGTGGGAGAGAGAAAAGGGACTTCCTTTGCAAAATCACAGGAAGCAGCCAGTCTAAGTGACACTCGGGAAGCTGAATGGACTGCAGGAGGAAACGTCAGAGCAGCAGGCTGGAACAGCAAAAGCGAGCACAGCCGGAGTGGCAAAGTGTAGCAAAGACTCACGAGCTATACCAGAAGCCGCAGGGTATCCGGGCGGGCACGGGCTGTCAGGTTAAAAAAAAAAAAAAAAAAGAAACAGACAAAAACCACAAGGCAACAGCAGTTCCAGTCAGACGCACACGCTGCGTGGCTGCCCGAAGTCAACCACCCCCACCGGAAGGAAGCAGCAGAATCTGGCTTCCAACCCTCGCAGGATCCCGGGCTGCCTCTCACCCATCGCGATACTCCCAGAGCTGGGGGGCAGGGGGTGGGCAATGACCATTCTGGACACAAAACAAAAACAGAAAATGAAAAAAATAAAATGTGTAGGGGATAAAAACCATCCCCAAAACAGCACTGCTCAGCAACCACCAAAACATCCGTGTGTTATCAACATTATTCCCATACTGAATCCAAAATGCAGCATTGTGAAACAGAGATTTTTAGAATTCACTTAAGTTAATGAATTAAGCATTTATATTTTTTGTGAAAAATGCATATTTTATGATTGGCTTTTCGCAAATATTACAATGAATATTATATGTGTAATGTTAGAAAGTTATGCTGTATTAATTCTCTTAAGTAGTGTGTTAAATATAGTTTTAGGTTCCAACATAATGTTAAAATAGAGACTATGTATGTGGGGGAATTTTTTTTTTTTTAGGAATGAGATACTCGCTTCGAAGAACACCTAAATCTTCCAAAGGAGAGGAATTTATGGCTTCTTATCAGAAGAAGCTAATTTCTTCAGGCCTTGCTCAGACTTGAAGACTCCATGGGGATTAAAGGAACAGTTGACATACAACAGACAGAGTTTCTTGTTTTAAATAGAATGTATGCATAACCATGAAGGATATATGAATTGTGAGAAACTATAGACTGGGGTATTGTTTATTAAGATATATGTTAAGCCCAATGTAAAGGTTAGGCAACAGAAGATATGCAAACAGCCAACAGACACAGCTTATGCAAGACAAGATAACCGCAATCACTTACATCAGAGACTGCTTATGCAAACATAAGATAACTGCAAGACGTTCCAGGAACTGGCTTGCAAGAAATTCCAGGAAGACAAAAGGGTTCCCCACTACTTCATGAAAAATGGAATAAAAAGGGGGCTGTTTGAACTGATCAGGGCAGCAGTTGGTGGAGCGCAGACTCCCCTGTCATCCAGCGCTGTCTTTGCTCATATTCTACTTGCTGTAATTAATAAAATTGTAATTGGATTATGATCCATTGTGGCGCAAATTTATAACAAATATGCAACAAGTGTATTGTTTTAAGGGTGATTTCTTTGTTCACAAGTCATGCTTTTTGTGATTTAGTGTCCAAGAGCATCTGGACGTCCGTAATTCTTTGCTTTTTATTGTCTTGTAATTGTCCTAATTCTAAACTTTATTACTCCATTTGTATTATTATTTTTATAACCATTTTATTATTATTAAACTTTTAAAATTTTAAAAACCAAGTGATTGGCGTTTTTCACAATTATGGTAGCAGAGGATGGTTGCTAACACCTCTCTGCCGGTGCCTTAGGAGACTCAGAGTGAAGAGACGGGTCCTGCCCTATTTAGGCAGCTTCACTCTGTTCCCCTGGTGTTACCGACAGAAGCAGGTTTTGATCCAGGGACAAAAGGAGACAATTACACAAAGAAAAGGGAAAGGATTCCCTAAAACTGCAGTAATTAGCCCCTAAGATTAATGTGTACACAAAGAACAAAGACCCAAGGAAAGAGGATAGGTGAGTATTTGTTGGGATGGGGTGGATAAAGGGGGGGATGAATGCATGTGAATGAGAGGTGAACTGGTTATCCCAGACTTGCCAAGTGAGAGCAGGAGTCTCCCACGCTGCGTTTCCGTCTTTTTCGAGAGAAAAACGGCCAGTAAAGAGACGAAGAGAGTGAAAACAAGAGTGAAAGAACACCCCCCCCCCCGGGGAAACTGGAACTGGGTCTCCAGGAAGGAGTGGGACACCTTGGTGGGGGGAGGGGGGGGGGAAATAGGAAATTTTAAAAATAGAGTTTTCTTGACATAATTCATTGGAGAATTAAAAGGCAAAAAGAGGGCTTTCTTGGCATAATTAATTGGAGAAAAATAAAAGGGTAAAAAGAGAGGGTTTTCCTTGGAGGGGCATAAATTTGCTGGATTAAAGGATATCCAAGAGAATCTGGGATTACGGTTGGATTGAGGGATATCCAAGAACACCAGAACTGGCCAGTAACACCTAAAAGTCTAATAGGTGTGTTAAAATTCTGCAGAATCGGGGGACATCCAAGATTAATGGAGATACATGCTGGATTAAACCTGCTGGGTTGATGGATGAGGGTTGCATTCCAAGAGCACTCAGAATAAATGTAGATATGTGGATATGTAATATAGATTGTTTGAAAGTAAAAGGTACCTTGCTGTTGTATGTGAGAGTGAGTGAAAAATAAAAGTGAGTGAGCGTGGGCAAATGAAAGTATATAAAAGTATTGTGAAGTCCAGAAGTATGAATGAACAGGCTTGAGGGTGTCAATGTGTGTGAGAGTGAGAGATAAAGGTGAGTAAATGTAGATGAATGGAAGTATATGTAATGTAGATTGTTTATTTTGAGCTTTACTTTATTTCCTTGGAGGGAGGTGGATTGTATTGAATGATATTGTGTTAAATGATATTGTGAGAAATAGGACTTTTTGTGTAGTTGAAAGAAGGTGGTATTCAGGTTGTTAGAGAAAGTGGGAAACAAAGGCATGGAATGACTAGATAAGATTTTGGAAAATGGGACAGAAAACGAGTAAAAAAGAAGACAAAGGGAAAGAAAAGGGAGGGGAACAAGAGAGGAAAAGGAAAGGAATGGGATCCTTCACAGGTTTTGCCCCCTCCGTTCCCGTTCGCCCGCACTACTCGCGGCCCAGCCGCTTGTCCCGGGCCCCGGCGCGCTGCCCGCTTCAGCTCCGCCTGTCCCGGTCCCTGTTTCGCCGCCCGCAGCCTCTGTGCCCGTCCCCGTCCCGCTGCTCGCGGCTGCCCGGCCGTCCCCCGCCCCCGCCCCGACCGGCTGCTCCGCGGCCTCGCTTGCCAGGCTCCCGTCGGTCCCGCCCGTCCCATCCTTGACCGCTCCTCCCGCGGCTGTTTTCTCTGACCCATCGCCAGCGACTTTGCCATTTCCGGCTGCGCTGAGCACCGCCGCTGCTGCTTTGTCTCTGCTGGGGACCACCGACCCAGCCGCCATTTACCTCGTGCGGGCTGACCGCGCTCCCGGCTGGTACCCCCGGCACTGACCCTCCCTTGGCGGTTCCGGCAGCACACCCTGCCCGTGCTCCGCCTTTGGAGGACCGAGTCTCGGTGGTATGCCCTCCCCTCACCCCGTTCCTGTCTGGAGCTCCGTTCCCCCGGTAACCGCAGCCCCAGCTCGGAGAAACTCTTTCTATCTAGAGGACGCCCCTTATAGGAACACAAGAAGTTCAGTTAGAAGGCAACATTCTCCGGACTCTTCCTCACAGCACGGGAGAAAGGCTATAGAAAAAGACTGGGATAAAGAAATTGGTCTATTTCCACTAAGAGAGGTCCCGATAGGAGGGGATGGAACTGAGTTTGTGAATGCTCCTTTGACTTCTTCTGGGGTCAGGAATTTTAAAAAGGAAATCAAAGGGATTTTGGAGGATCTCATAAGCACTGCTGAACAATTAGACCAATTTTTAAGTTCAAACATTTATACTTAGGAAAAAATGCGGTCAATAATAAAGATACTATTTTCTCCAGAAGAAAGGGAAATGATCAGAATTGCAGGCATAAAAGCCTGGAGTAAAGAAAATCCACAGCCCCCCCCCCCCCCCCCCCCCGGAGGACAAAATGCCAACTGCACCTCCTGAGTCCTGAGTGGGGTCAAAATGATGAGGAGGGGAGAAAACATATGAATGAGTATTGTAATTTGATTGTTGGGGAAATAGGGGGAGCAGCAACTCGAGGGCAAAGTGTTGAGGGGACTTTTGGGTCACAGCAGGGCGGGGGGAGGCTTCAGCTGAGTGGTTGGACAGACTTGGGAGAAATAGGAGGCAGTGTTCCAGAGTGGATCCTGAGACTGATGTGAAAAAGGCTTTGTTAAGGATTAACTTTGTGCTTGGCCAGATAATGGAAAAAATGGAAGATTGGCATGACAAATTATTAGATGATTTATTAAAAAACGCTCAGAAAGTCTGTGGCCAAAGCCAAACGAAAAGCAAAGATTGTGGCAGTCAACATGCAAGAAAACAACTGCAAGAAAACAATAAAAAACCCACAGGCACTACTCCTAGATATGACGGTGGTAAAGACAGGGGAACAGGAAAGAATAAAATCCCAATGCAATCAAAGTTTCAGGAACATTCTAAGAATGTCTGCTTTTACTGTAAGGGCGAAGGTCATTTTAGGAGAGATTGTCCTAAGAGGGTAGCAGATCTGAAAATGTTTAAAGAGATGGGCACCGAGGAAGAATAAGGATGTCAGAGGGTCTATTTTTTTGGGGACAAATACCATCTGGAGCCTGTGATAACTTTAAAAATGGGTCCCCAAGAAGAAGAATTGGAGTTTGTGGTAGACACAGGGGCAGAAAGAACCTGTCTGTTAAATATTCCAAAAGGTTATAGTGTAAGCAAAGATACTGTAAAAGTAACAGTGGCAAAAGGAGAGAGTTTCACAGTTCCTGTCATTAAAAATACCTTAAAGATGCCTTTTGGGCTTGCCCATTAGCCCAGGAGAGCCAAGATATCTTTGCCTTTGAATGGGAGGATCCACAGACTGGAAGAAAACAGCGATTAAGATAGACAAAACTATCACAGGGGTTTACTGAATCTCCAAACTTATTTGGACAAGCTTTAGAATACTGATTATCCAGTATGTGGATGGTCTTTTAGTTTCTGGGGAAGCTGAAGCTGAAGTTAGAGAGGCTACTATAAAGCTTTTGAATTTTCTTGGGGGAAAAGGATTAAGGGTATCAAAAGGGAAGCTGCAATTTGTAGAATCAGAGGTAAAATATCTTGGACACTTGATTAGTAAGAGTAGTCAGAAGCACAACCCAGACCAAAAAGCAAGAATTCTATCCCTTCCCCCTCCCTCTTCAAAGGGGGGAATCAGAAAACTACTCAGATTATTGGGATATTATAGATTGTGGATTGAAGGATATACACAGGCAGTAAAATTTTTGTATGAAAAAAATGACAGAGAGAGATGATATAAAATGGACCAAAGAAGATTATGAAAAACTAACAAAACTGAAGTTAAAACTGGCTTTAAGCTTACCTTCACTAGCAAAACCCTTTCATCTGTACGTAAATGTAGAAAAGGGGGTAGCTCATGGGGTTTTGGTTCAGGAGTGGGGAGGAGTAAAGAGACCAGTGGCTTATTTATCAAAGATGTTAGATCCAGTAAATCAAGGCTGGCAAGTGTGTATTCAAGCTGTGGCAGCTACTGCAATCCTAGTAGAGAAAAGCTGTAAACTGACTTTTGGAGATAAATTAATTGTGTGCACACCTCATGCAGTACGAAATTTCTTCCAATTTGCATTGGGATTTTTATCTTGAAATACATAACTTACTGTACTCTAGGATTGAAAAACTAGTTTACAGCTGGGACATAGCAAAACCTGCTATTAATTTGAGTCGAGGCAGGCTGTTCAATCAAGTGGTTCTCAGTGTGTAAAGTTAAACTAAAGGTAAAACCAGTGGCTTAGTAGGTCAATGAGAAACATTTTTCCCTCCAGACAGTCCTTTTTCATGCACCCAAATGTGTTTTTCTTCCTTAGTTTTTTTGTTTTGTTTGTTTATTAGTTTTTCTGGAAGTGCTAACTACTTGCAGTGTATCTAGAACATCAACTAAAGTTGTGCATACAAAACACTTGTGAAAAATAGGGCTCATTTTTTTTCCCAGAATGGGAGGTGGCTACATATAGAAAAGGGAACCTACAAAGCTAGATGAAGAAAAATTTTCAGTATATTCTAATGTAAGCTGTTAATTTTTTACTTTCAGCGTCACAGTGGGTGTGTGACACGCACATATGAAAAAGATGGTGGGGGAGATCTCTGCTTGCTATAGTTTCCTATTTCTTGAATGAGTTAAAGAGCTATGAAGCAGTTGTGAGTTCCTTGGGTAGATTATCCAGGACTTCAGGGAGAGCTTGGCCCTGATTCCGTCTGTGCTGCAGGTTGCCCTGCCACGTGGCAGCAGTGGCTTGCCTCTAGTGAGTTTGCAGGCAGGGTGCTTCACCACTGCAGTGCTCAGGTGCAGTTTCCTATTTTGACATTAAAGCTTAAATTCAAGACTGCCTCTTCCCATACAGAGTGAGAAAGGGAGAGAGAGAGAGCAAAGGGGAGAGTGAAATAAGCCCCCAAGGTCCCCTTACCCGTAGCTATCAAGAAGCTATCAAAAATTCGTCGCACAGAGATAAGAGCGAAAGGACCCATAAAGAGTTATTACCTCCTCATCGGAAAAGACATTCTTCCACCTTCTCTCCATCTTTATGGAACCACCAGGATTAAGGGGAAGAAGTTGACAAAAACCAGAAAAGCTTTTAATTTGCAAGGAATTTATGCATCATGTATGAGATGCAACAGGCTGTTGCTTTTAAGGTTATCCTTTGTTCACAAGGCATGCTTTTCTTGACTTAGTGTCCAAGAGCATCCGGACATCCGTAATTCTTTCCTTTATATTGTCTTGTAATTGTCCTAACTCTAAATTTTATTACTCTAATTGTATTATTATTTTTATAACCATTTTATTATTATTAAACTTTTAAAATTTTAAAAACCAAGTGATTGGCGTTTTTCAAAAAAAGAAAAAGGGTGAATAAAAGGGCTGCGAACAGGAGGAAGGGAGGAAAGAAAAAGATTGGGATCCTTTTGCAAGTGTTGCTGATACACGGTAATAACTCCACAACCAAGGGTTGTAAAGTAAGTACATATTTTATTCAGCGCCGGACACAGGGGGGCAAAATCCTCCCAAATCCTGTGTACCCCAGCTTCCCAAATCTCCGTATTTATTCACAAAAGTCATGCATATTCGATAGCGCCTATACATATTCAATAACTATCCCCACCCATTCTCCGCATAGTATGGAAATTAGCTGTGACTACGTAGTTCGTTCTTTTATTGAGTCAGTGGTCCCAAAAATGAGGCTGGGGTCTGGTGAGATGAAGCTGTTCTAGTCTTCCTCACCACTGAACTTTCGAACTTAGATGTCTTCGCATGTGCAGTCGACTTTTTGCTTCGCATTTTCAGCAAGCTCAGCAATTTCCATCAGAGGCCCCCCTTTTTCTTGTCAGCTCAGCACAATTTTGATAGGTAACAGATTTTCTTCAGGGGGTCCATAATGTACAGCATATGTTCATGCATCTATTGCTTAAATCATTCTAAATTACCTATTAACCCTTAAATCCCCTGTTTCAATCCCCTCTTTTCTAGAAAATAGTAAATTCTTTTACTTAATGCCAAACTCCCTTTTCTCCTTTTCTACGATATGCATCACTCAATGCCCTGCCATGTACTGCTGACAGCGAGGTTAACATTGCTATTTGTTGCAACATCCTCCAGTTCCAAATTAGCATTGCAACAGACAGAACCATGCTCATGCCAATCAGGATGAGTAACACAATGGTTGGATGAACTAATGCATTAAGGAACCCAGTCCCTGTTGGTGACCATCCAAATATTATATCCCACCATTGGTGAGATGTGTCTGTTTCAAGTCTCTTAAAGACTCTTTTTATGGCCTCTGTGTCATGATGTACGGTAATCAGAGTTTTCCTTCCCATCTCTCTACTTTCTTTGAGAATTCTTCTCAACTCTTCATGTTTTAATAGCTGTTTGACCAAAGTTAAATTCATCCCTATGGGCACGGGTGATATTTCTTGTACCGTAGTCAGATTTGCCTTTATATGCTGATGAGATATCACGGGTCCTCGATAAGAAAAGTCACAGCCCTCGATTCTGATAAAATTACAGATGCATAAATTGGATTGGGTTTCATTTATGATTAGCTCATCCACTGTTATTGAGGGGCATGAAGTCCTGAGACATACACAGCCCTGACCTACATACACAAGTGAAGTTGTTTGATTGATCAAGTGGACTTCAAAGTGACAAATGCTCTGCTCTGTATCCAAGCATCTTGATCAATATCTACATTCCTCTCACATATGAACCCTAGTTGTTTTCTCATGGTACACGATTCTATATGAATGGTTTTCCATTCCCCTTCAAACTTCCATGCCCACATCCCGTGTTCAGAAGAACATAAGATGGTTCCCTTATGGTTTAGTCCTAGGGCTACTATTGGGTATATCAGACTTACTGATGCATTGCGTATCGTTAGAACGAAGGCAGTTACCATGCTCATGACAGGATTATATGTGAAATTAACCAGGATCCACCATGATTGAAGTTCTCTCTCTAAATCAGAGGCATGATCCCAGACAATTTTGCAAATCTCAGCAGGGAATGTGCCTTCACTGCCTTCCCTAATGATTGAAGCAGCCACTGATTGCATCCATAATTGTGCTTGCACGCATCCAAGAGCCAGGGACATATTTTCGTTAGCTGTCCCCATGGCATTTACTATTAAGCCATGATCCTGTTCTTCTATGTCTTCCCATTCTGCTAAGATCTTAGACAATCTCCACTGACTTGTACCTAGTGCTAGTAGGGAAGATTGTAAGGGCTGTTGTAGTTTAACTACATCACTGCCAGTTGCAGTCAATTTGTTCATTATTACCTCTGAGTCTATTGTGTTCAGGATCCCCAGTCCTCTTCCTAGTATCCCCGTAAGTTCCCTTTTCTGCCTAAAAGTATCAGGCACCCACTTGTGCAGCCAAGTAATCCAATCCATAAAGGAAGTTCTAAGAAAGAGGGTGCATTCTGATCGAATGGCTGAAGCATTCACCTGCATTTCCATGTCTACTCGCTTCAGGGACCATTCTGGATTCAGTAATAATCTTTGGATCCCGACTTTTTTGACTGCATATGGTCCAATTTTAGTGATTATAGGCTGGACTACTTTCCCTGGGGTGGTTTGAACTTGAGTAGCTGTAGGTTCCTCCGGTCTCTGAGTTGACAAATTTGTTTCCTCATCCTTATCCTGAGGGTCAACACAATCATGAGTAATGTTATAATCCAACTGATTACCCTTAACTGCACACCCTTGTATTTCAAGTCTAAATGCAGCACAATCGGACAGGCAGGTTTTACAACATTCAGAATCAATTTGGAGTAGCTCCATAGGTTTTTGATGAGACCCATGATGTCCAATCTGAACAAACGCATATTCACAACCCCAAATGTTTCTACCTTCCCAGACCTTAGCATTTGTAACCTTCAACATTTGATTCAGCAATTTACGAGAGTGTGCGTCATAAGCTCTTCCTCGACAAACATACCTCCCAGCGATATGGTACATGTGTGGTTTTACATTAGTCTCAGCTACAGTCATGGCTACATTCATGAGGCACACAATTTTCCAAGCTAACATTTTTACCCAGAATCTATTCATCCTTCCCGAGTAAGTTTCAATTTCAGTTCATTATCACCTAGTGTCGCTTTCCAAGGGGCTCTAGAGGCATTCTTCACTCGTGAATGATGAATCCAAGCGTTCTGTTCTTTAATCTTAATTGCAGTGAATGTGGTAAGTAATACCTGAAATGGTCCTTCCCACTGTAGTTCCAAGGTTTTCTCTGCAAGAGACTTAACATAAACATAATCTTCAGGCTGTATGTTATGCACTGGCCCATCCAACCCCCTTCTCCGAGATCCAGCCACATGTTTTTCAAATTTTCTGAGCTGTTTACTCAGAGCTATCAAATAGGAGGTCATTGTTTCTTCCCCAATCTGAGTAGACATTCCCTTCGGTATCCCATACGGTCTCCCATAAAGCATTTCAAATGGGCTCGACTTTTCTTTAGTTCTTGGCTTAGTCCAAATTCGCAGCAATGCCAATGGGAGAGATTGGGGCAGGGCAAATTAGCTTCTTGCCCTAGCCTCACAATTTGTTGTTTAATTAAATGATTCATTTTCTCTACTTGACCACTTGACTGAGGATGGTAAGGGGTGCAGTTTATGCTCATATGGTGACTAACCTGCTGTACTATTTTTGAGATAAAGTGGGGTCCTCTGTCTGAGGATATTGTGGCTGGAACTCCAAAGAATGGTATTATCTCTTGCAATAGTATTTTGGTTACTTCCCGAGCTTTCGCAGTTCTAGTGGGGAAAGCTTCTGGCCACCCTGAAAAGGTATCTGTCAATACCAACAAATACCTATACCCCCCTTTTCTTGGGAGTTCTGTAAAATCAATTTGCCACTGCTGCCCAGGTCCGTGACCTCTTCCGATCTGGCCAAGTTTTGGTTTGGGAGTATTCTCAGGATTAGTCTGGAGGAAAAGATCACACTGCTGAGTCACTTGGATGATGGTGGTATACAAATTTCTGGCAGTAATTTTCTCAACTAGATAATGATACAGGGCATCCACTTCCCAGTGTGTCTTTCTGTGTTGTTCTCTTACTAGAGACCATAATATATGGGAGGGGATGACCAGTTTCCCTTCTGCAGTTGCAGCCCATCCTTCCTGGTTATATGTTCCCCCTTGTTCCTCAACGAATTCCTTATCTTTCTTGTTGTATGATGGCTTCCCTTCAGGAATTATCTGTCCATCTGGAATCAGGGAAGTTTCAGCTATTATCTCATCCTTTGCTGCTTCTTTTGACTCCCTATCCGCCAGTTCATTTCCTTCCTCCATTTCCGAGCTCACCTTTTGATGTGCCTTTATGTGCATAATTGCTATTTTCTCAGGCATTTGGACCACTTCCAGCAATCGCACTATATATTGTGCATTTTTAATGTTTTTCCCTTGGGAGTTTAACAATCCTCTTTCCTTCCAAATAGCCCTGTGTGCATGCACAACCCCAAATGCATATCTTGAGTCTGTATATATATTTATTTTCCTTCCTTTTGCCATTTCCAAGGCACGTGTCAAGGCAACTAGCTCAGCCTTCTGTGCAGAGGTTTTTGTAGGTAGAGGCCCCAATTCTATTACCTTCTTTCTGGTGGCAACTGCATACCCAGCATGTCGTTTCCCGCTGATGACGTAGCTGCTCCCATCGGTAAACCAAGTTTCCATGTAATTGAAAGGAGTGTCCTTTAAATCTGGGTGGCTGGAGTAGGTGGCTTCAATAGTCTCCAGACAGTCATGATGTACTGGCTCTCCTTGATTTCCACTAAGGAAAGAAGCTGGATTGACAATATTGGTTACCTCTATTTCTACATCATCTTGTTCTACCATGATAGCTTGGTATTTCAGAAACCTCTGTGGGGAAAGCCAGTGTCCCCCTTTCACTTCTAGCACTGCAGATACTGTGTGAGACATGAGTACAGTCATTTTCTGGTCCAGGGTAAACTTACATGCTTCTTGGATATTTATTACAACCGCTGCCACAGCTCTGAGACATCCTGGCCATCCCTTGGCCACTGCATCTAGCTGTTTGGAGAAGTAAGAACCGCCCTTCGATAGGGGCCTAAGTTCTGTACCAGTATTCCCAGGGAGATCCCCAGTTTTTCATGGGAAAACAGAAAGAATGTTTTACTCACGTCCAGAAGTCCTAGGGCTGGGGCTGACATAAGGGCTTCCTTCAGCTGGGAAAAGGCTCGAGTGGCCTCCTTGGTCCACTGGAGGTATTTATTCCCCTTTGCTATGAGTTCATATAAAGGTTTAACAAGTAACCCATAGTTGTAGATCCACAATCTACACCATCCTGTCATTCCCAAGAAGGTTCGCAGTTCCTTCATTGTCCGAGGTTGTGGGGTCTGGCATATTGCCTCTTTACGGTCTTGCCCCAGAGTCCGTTGTCCGGCACTAGCCTCGTACCCCAGGTAGATCACCTTTTGCTTTACCACCTGAGCCTTTTTCTTTGATACTCTGTACCCTTGTAGTCCCAAAAAGTTTAAGAGACTCACCCTCCAGGCCACACATGCCTCTTCTGTCCGAGTGGCTATTAGGAGATCGTCTATGTATTGCAGTAACTTTCCTTCTTCTGGTGGGGCTTCCCAAGCCTCTAAATCCTTTGCAAGTTGTTCCCCAAACAAGGTAGGGGAGTTTTTGAACCCCTGTGGAAGTCGTGTCCATGTGAGCTGGGTTTTGCGTCCACTTTTAGTTTCCCATTCAAATGCAAAGATTTTCTGACTGGCTTCATGGAGAGGAAGTCAAAAGAAGGCATCTTTCAAGTCTAAAACGGTAAACCAAGTTAGTTCAGGTGTTAAACATGTCAATAGGGTATATAGGTTTCCTACCACTGGATAAAGATCTTCAGTGATCTTATTAACAGCTCGTAAATCCTGCACCACCCGATATGATCCATCAGGTTTCCGAATAGGTAAAATGGGGGTATTAAAGTCAGATTGACATTCCTTTAATAATCCTTGCTGTAGAAAGTTTTCAATCACTGGCCTAATTCCTTCTCTGTCCTCTTTCCTCAAAGGATACTGCTTAATCCTGACTGGCTGTTTTCCTTCCTTAAGGTTAATTACTATAGGGGGTGCGTTTTTTGCTTTTCCTGGCACATTAGAGGCCCATACCCCAGGGAACACCTGATTAACAATTTCCTCACTGATTTCCCCTTCTACCTCAGTGACTGTTAGTATTAGACTCAATACCTCCACATATTGTTGATCATTTACCTCCAGAGCAATAGCTCCATCCTTAAAGCTAATAGTTGCTTGTAATTGTTCCAATAAATCCCTTCCTAAAGGAGCCTTTGGGGAATTAGGTAAATATAAAAATTTTTGGGCGCCCCATTGTTTCCCAAACTTGTACTTTAGGGGTTGACAAAAATAAGCCTTTTCAGATTGGCCAGTGGCTCCTTGTACCAAAATGTACTCTTTTCCCACGGGCACAAGGGTTTTATTTAATACTGAGTATGTTGATCCTGTATCGACTAGAAATTCTACCCTTTTCCCTTCTTCCCCCAGCTTCATAGTTATAACCAGGGGATCCTCTGGGGTAGGCTCTCCCGGTCCTCTTCAATCCTCCTAGACACTAGCAACCAACCCTCTTCCCTTGTCCCCTCTCCGTTTGGGGCATTCATTCTTCCATTGTCCAAACCCTCTACAAAATGCACATTGGTCTTTGCCCAGTCGGGCTGAACCCCCTGGGTTTCGCTGACCTTGTATTCCTCCCCCTTTTTCTGCTATTGCCACTGACATCAGTTTGCACACATTCTGTTTATATGCTTCCTCTCTATTCCTATACACTCTCCATGCCTCATCGACTAATTTTTCTAGGTTTCTCATATCAGGTCCTTTAAACTTCTGAAGTTTGCACCTAATATCTGTTGTTGATTGACCCAAAAATAAGTGTATTAATTGTTGAATGCCCACCTCTTCTCTAGGATTTACGGTTGTATAGCGACGCATCGCATCTCTTAACCGTTCCAAAAATTCAGATGGTGATTCAGAAGGACCCTGTTTAATATTATATAACTCTGACCAATTTATGGTTTAAGGAATTGCTTATTCCAGCCCTTTCGCTATCCATTCCTGGTATCTTTCTAATTTCTTCATGTCTTCTGGTCTGTTTCGTTTCCATTCTGGCTTCTGGAGGGGGAAATAGTCCTTTACCTCTGTGTTATAGTGAGATCATGGGCACCATGTGCCCCCCTTCCCCCAGGACCATGTGACTCTGAACAAGATAACCCCTGGACCCCTCCTTCCTGCCCCAATGGGGTTGGCGGAGAGACAGGAAAGCCCACCCTGTCCAAAACCTATATAGACCCCTGACATTTCCTGTTCCTTCTCTTTTGCCCCGCTCTCCACGTGTACATCACAGAATAAAGAGAGCTGTACCAGCATTATCCTGGGGTGAGAGCCTCTTTTGAATACCTATACCCCTCTCCTGATATTCCTCCCCTCACAGCCCCTTATCTCTGAGCTAGTCGGATTCTTTGGGGGCTGCGTGAGGGGGGGGAGACACCTCTGTTTTCTGGTTCTTACAATATTCCTCTGCTAGACTTCCTGCAGCATTCAAAATTAACCGCTATTCTGTCTCAGTTAGTGACTCCAACAATAATTGCATATAGGACCAGTCTGGGTTGTGTTGTTTAATCATGTACTGCAAACGCTGTGCTGTAGCTTCTGAGTCATCACAATAGTTTTTAGCAACCTTTTGCCGTGATTCTAAATCGATACTTGAAAAGGGTGCTTTAACTATCACTGGCTCCCCATTTGGCCCTACTGCTTCCCTCAGAGGTGCTATTACTATCTGTTGTTGTCTAGTCTGAGATGCCACTGGACTGCTAGAGGGTGCCCTGCTGGGAGCTGATCTGCTACGGGATGCTCTGCTAAGTGTTGAGCTACTAAGGGCTGACCTACTAGGAGATGACCTGCTAAAGGATGCTCTGCTAGGTGATGAGCGGGCCTCTGGATCTGCATCCCTTTCTTCCTCTTCCTCCTCCTGTCTCTTAGGAGGGGGTGTCCATAAGTCTAATAGGTCTTGGTCCTGGGCCTCAGCTCAATATACCTTGTCCAATTTTATACACCTCTTCCCAATGCTACAGGCTGAGCAGCATCTCTTTAATTTCTCCTTCTTTCCTTTATTTTCTTTCTCTAGTGTCGCCCTGATTCTTGAGCTTTTCTAAAGCCTTCTGAGTTTACATTCTATTGGGAAACTTTCCCACACAGTTTCTGTAAATAACGTGTTGTTTTGCATTCCTTCATGGGGGTGGAGAGACTTGATGTACTAGTGGTTTGTCCAATGTCTTTGGAGAGGTGGCCCATTCACTCTCCAATCCACTGTCACCTTTGGAAAAGTATAAAAGTTGGAGTCAGAAAATAAACTTTCTCTTTTACCATGCAAAGTGGCAGGTGGCTCGCATTGTGCTTTCTCGTGTCCTATAGCGACACTCTAGTGATAGCACCAGGGGGTCACGGGACGCTCTAATCCTGCAATCTCTCTGCCATTCAGGATGATCTCGGAGGGAGAAGAATATATCGCAATACGAGACTTCACTCCACTTACCCTTCCTCCTCAAAAATAACATTAATTGCAGCAAAGTATCATAATCTAATGTCCCTGTGGGTGGCCACTTTACATCTTCATCTAGCCTGTATAAAGCCACCACTGATTACAGTATTTAATAAAGGTCGACTTATTTTCAGTACTTCCCGTCCCTGCAACTTCTTTCCAGTGTGCTATAATACAACCTAATGGGCTAGCTTTAGGAACCTCTATACTCCGCCCAGATCCCATTATCTCCTTCTTCGCGTCCTACTTTGCTCCTGTCCAAATTTTCCTCTCAAAACCTTACAGACACCCTCAATTGTTTCTCAAATGCAAATCAAAATTCTCACTCTGCCGCGATTATAATTTTTGACACAAGATGGCAGTGTCATGCCACCAATGAACTAAGATATGAACAACAAAGGAACTAACAGAAACTACAGTAAAACAATAAAAGGCAGCGATAAGACAACAATAAGGCAGAACACACCGACACGGCAGCAATTAGACACCAAAAAAGCAACAGAAACTGCAATGAAACAGCAACAAGGTTCTCCGCCGGCTTTTCTCACTATGCAAACACAAACACACTCAAACATCACTCCCCTTACAGACACGCCTCACTCATCCACTCACTCCCTCACTTTTCACCACTCTCCCAATATCCAACTTAAACACACTACCTTTTAGCTCTGATCACGTGATCAGGAATCCACTCGATCCACATCCTAGGATCACTCGTGGCTGTACTATCAGACAGTGAACTCCTCCACCAGCCCCCCTCCCTCCTCCTCCCTCCTCCCCGAGGCCAGTGGGGATGGAGGAATGGAGTGGGTCCTGCTGGTAGCAAACCCCCTTTCCCTGGCTGCCCGTCTCAGCCAGGAGCTTGCAAGCTTTCACCTTCCTAGGGAATGTTGCACACGGAAGGTCTTCCGCGATTTACCAACCCCCTTCGACCTTGCGTACCTACGTCTTACAATCCCCTTAAAGTTGATACGTACCATTTGACCCGTTTGCCAGTGACTCTTATCTGTAGCTGCAGTAAGCGAGCCAAGGTCAGATTCCTCCTCCGTGAAACTCCCGGTGCGTGCCTGGATTCCTCTGTTCTTAGCTCGATTCTTGCAGACAGACAGAAACCTCCTCCCTGGCTCGCCAAAATGATACACGATAATAACTCCACAACAAAGGGTTGTAAAGTAGGTACATATTTTATTCAGTGCTGGACACAGGGGGGCAAAATCCTCCCAAATCCTGTGTTCCCCAGCTTCCCAAAACCCCGTATTTATTCACAAAAGTCATGCATATTCTATAGCGCTTATACATATTCAATCACTATCCCCGCCCATTCTCTGCATGGTATGGAAATTAGCTGCGACTGCGTAGTTTGTTCTTTTATTGAGTCAGTGGTCCCAAAAATGAGGCTGGGGTCTGGTGAGATGAAGCTGTTGTAGTCTTCCTCACCACTGAACTTTCGAACTTAGATGTCTTCGCATGTGCAGTCGACTTTTTGCTTTGCATTTTCAGCAAGCTCAGCAATTTCCATCAGAGGCCCCCCTTTTTCTTGTCAGCTCAGCACAATTTTGATAGGTAACAGATTTTCTTCAGGGGGTCCATAATGTACAGCATATGTTCATGCATCTATTGCTTAAATCATTCTAAATTACCTATTAACCCTTAAATCCCCTGTTTCAACATCACCAGGGCTCTGGGAAGAGAACATTTCCCTTTTGGAGAAGTCTGGACTATATTCTTGAGAAGAAACAGGTGTTATAGGGGGATACAGGGTGGATGGTCCAATTTCAGGACCAGGATACTGTGGAGGTACAAGGGGATCTTGAAAAGGGTTAGTCGGACTCTTTGTCTGTCTCTGTATGCTTTTTTCCAATCCTAAAACCTGTTTTCGAGCTTGTAAAAATATTGGAATAAAGAAGCTTTATGGTCACCATTTTCGACTTTTAAAGTTAATATCTGTCCACTTTGGTCCCAAAATCAAATTGAATTCATATCTTGCACAGTAAAATTTTGTAATTCCTCTGTTAATCAACAGACAAAATGCAGTAGGAGCTTATTTGGGAATGCAACATTGGTTAAAATATTGTTAAGGTGTTTTAATGTACTCTTTTTTTGCACTGATAACTCAACTCAAGGCCCATTTTATAATCGTATCGGTGCAATATCTATCACCAGACGCTCAGCACAGCACGAGTTCAAATTCCCCGCTTGTAGAGAGCACAGGAATCGGGGGGGTGGGGGGGTGGGGGGGGGGGGTGAGGGGTCGGGAAGACGCGGTGCTTTTTCTCTTTTTTCTCAGTTCCCCATGGGCACGGGGGGTTACCCTGCCGCCCTGTTGGCATTAGAGTACCCGTCCCATGGTTTCCCCACCCTCTGGACGTGGGCTCCTCTCGGTAGGAGCCGCTCCGCAGAACACGGAGCTCTGATACACAAGTCCGCCCGTGTTGCAAGTTGTGTGCACAGGGTCCTAGCTTCCCCGTCCATAGCAGCTTCCACGGTCGCTCTGGTAACCCTTCCCCCTCCCAGCCAGGAGCGTTCCCGGGAAAAACACGAAACGAACGAGGGTTCTTACCAATCCTTTTGAACCGTGTGTCGTGCATGGAAGCGTCTGGGGTCCCAGCTCCAGCCAGCTCACCTGGGGCACTCAGATGAGGTCCCGACTCACCCCCGTCACTCAAAGCCACCCAAAAGCAGCTAATAAGCAACAGGGTATTTGAACTTCCCAAAGAGCTATTGGGACCCTTAAAATAAGGGCTCCAGCTCCTGCATGGGCTTTTAGCAAACCCATGTTGGGGGCCAACCAACACGCCTATCCTTTACAGCCCCCAAATCACCAGGCTAGCCCAGATATGCGGGGGCCTTGAGGGAAGGCGGGTCAGGAGTTGGCCAAAGATTCCAAAGAGGCTTCAATTCCCATGATGTGGTTGTCCAAGCTGCTTATTCCATGAGATGAAGGGGGAAAAGAGAGAGAACCAGGAAGGGACAGGGCCTTATCTAGGCTCAGGACAGGGAGGGCTCTTTGGCCCTCCGCCAACCCCATTGGGGCAGGAAGGAGGGGATCATACTATCAGATCCCAGTTACAGGGGTCCCAGTGAAGGGGAAACCCATTGCCCAAGAGAAATGCAACACTTCTGTTCCAATAGTATAATACAATCTACCTTTCTCCAGAAAATAAAGTTAGATTTCAAATCAACCATCACTATGACATATACTTTCATTCATTCACACTCACTTTTATTTCTTTAATATGTCACTCATTCTCACTCACAAGACAACAAAGTACCTTTTACTTTCAAGTCACTTGTTAATATTCACCCATGGGTTTTTTAAAATCTCAAATATTGTTGGCCAAACCCAGGTGCTCTTGGATCCCAAACTTCCAAGCCTCTAGTGTTTTCTACTCTCAACCCGGCAGCTTTCAAGTCCGGGTGCTCTCAAGTTCTATACTTCCCGTCTTGTGTGGTTTTGACCCTCAACCTGACAAAATTTTAGCCCCCCCCCCCCCCCCTTTTTATCCTGTTTTCCCAGTGGATTGTGCCAGGAAAACCCTCGGCTCCCTTCCTCCAAGGGGTTCAACCCCTCCCTGGGACCCTGTCCCAGTTACCCCAGGTGGTCTCTGTTATAGATGCATATTATATGATTGTGTCTTTGCAAATATTAAAATGAATACTATATGTGCTATGTTGGAAAGTTATGCTGTATTATTCTCTTTTAAGTAGTGTGGTAAATATAGTTTTTAGGCTATAAAATAATGCTAAAATAGAAACTATATGATGTAAAATACTTCTTGTAACTAGCTCAAGGAATAGATAAGCCAACCAAAAAATTCTTCTCATACAGATTCCAGCAACAAGACACCAAAATCCAGAGAAGAATTATTGCCTCCTTATCAGGACTGTTCAGACTTCTTCCAGACTTCTAAGATCCAGGAAATTGATTTACAAGACGAAAGGGGGGGGGGGGGGGGGAGGCAGAAATTAAGCAGAGGACAGTCTTTGTTTGAAAATAATGTTTGCATCATGTATGAGATATATGAATATGCAATAGGCTATTGCTTTTAATCCTTTGTTAGTGCAGTGTGTTTCTGTGGCACCCGGATGTCTGTAATTCTTTACTTTTTATTGTTCTTTATTGTCCTAATTCTGATTGTCCAAATTCTTATTGCTCTAATTCTTACTACTATTTTTATAACTATTTTTTAACTATTAAACTTTTAAAATTTTAAAACAAGTGATTGTCATTTTTCACAGTCTTTCTCACTCCTTTTATCTTTTGCTTTGTCTCCTCGCTGGCTGTTTTTCTCATGAAAGAATGGAAACACAGCCCTCTGAAACCCCTCACTCACTTCGCAGCTCTGGAATAACCAGCCTGCATCTCATTCATACACATTCATGCTCTGTATTTGCCCCCCACAAGAAAACTTTACCAATCCTCTTTTTTTCTTTGGGTCTACCTGAAACCTCCAATCCACGCCAGAAGAAGCGGAGCAAGGGTGCCGAACTTGGGTGGGGTGCTCCCCCTGTGCTGTGTCCCCGGGGATGTCTGAGGCGAAATGTTAAACATGAACGAGCTCCCTAATTGTGAAAAGCAAGGTTCACTTTCCTGGTAAAATTTAAAACGTTTAATAAAAAAACTTTAAGAGAAAGAACTAAAGCAAAGGGTTAAAAACAGCCGGGGGGGGGTGGGGGGGGTGGGGGGGGTGGGTTGCACCACACTGTTATCTTCCGAGATACCCCTTAAATACCTTTCCCCTTACATCAGCCTGTTGCATATTCATGCATAGTAAACTTTCCCCCCAAACTAGTTTGCATGTTCCAAGAACTGTTTAGCATTTCTTCTGTAAGATTGATCCCTGGGCCTTTGTGGCTAGCTCTGGATCCCCGGCCCCTCTCAATCTCACAAGGACAAAAGTAAAAGACAAGAGGTGCTCTTTCCTCTTGGAACCAGAGTCCCAGTTTATTCTGGATAGGACCCTCCTGGGAAAGAAGGCGGTGTCTCAGAGGGGCAAGAGCAGGAATGCCTGATGGGGGGAGATTTTAAACCTGGGGAAATGGGGGGGGGGGGGGGAAGCAAAGGAAACGGGGCCACAGCCAATGGGATACAAGTGATGGGAGGAGCGAGGGGAGGAAGTAACCATGGCTAAGACCACCACCACAAGGCTCGGGGGGGCGGGGGGGGGGGGAGAGAGAGGGAGAGATATGGAACAAACCACCTGGTGCTGAAACATAGTGAAAATTTAGCAGGGTAGAAATCCATTTGGATTTAGGTGAAATATGCCACTTTGAGCTTGCTAGCATAAGTAAAATATGCTGTTTAGTCTGGTAACTCTGCAGCACTAGTAAAACTGCCCCAGCTGAGGAGAAAGAATGCAAATTTCCAAGCTGAAAAGAGAGGCTCCATGAAATTTGAAACAGACAGGGCAAGGTGACCCAGGAGTTCTTTCTGTACTTTCTGATAAAACACTGGCTACAAGTGTAACTAGCTGTAAGTGTAAAAAGGGATCAGGAGTTCTCAGGGGCAGACATGTCCTTTGAAGGGGAACATTCCCCACATGCGTCCCAGCACTGTAATAAACATACTGTCCCTACAAATCTTTATAGGAATTGTGGGGTTTTGATTTTTCATCCGTGCTTCAGTGCAACACAATAATCTTCTTCTTGGGTCCATGTCGTGGTTTAGGGCAAATTTGGGAGAAAACCTCTTGAAGGAGCCCCCAAAAAGCAAACCCCCCCCCCCCCCCCCGTTGCAGAATTTTTGAGAGAAAGAGGGCATGAATTGTGAAAGTTGAGCTACTCCAGGCTAGGCCTCAGATTGAGGCCTGGTGTGGCCTTCAAAGCCTCTGACGCAGTTAGAAATTCAGGGTTGTGGCGCAGGTAGAAAATAGTCTTAAGGTATTGTGGGGACCACGGGGTGTGAGCTAGTATAGGTTTTATGGTGTACAGTGTAGGCCGTTTTAAGGAAAAGGTAAACAATGTTAGCCTACCAATCAGAGTGTCTTTGTTTCTGTAAACTATGTAGAAGCTTATATAAACTACCGCCTGATTTTGAATAAACGGAGAACGTTGCATTAATCATATTGATTGGATGTGCGTTTGTCTTGTCCAGTTTCCCGTTTTCCTGAGGTTCCCTGGCTTTACCCCCCCCCCCCAGGTTTGGGAAGAATTTCCTCGGAGAGAAGTGGAAAAGAACCTGTTTATTTAACAAGCAAAACACTCCCCAGCACCAA